CCCACTTCCAACAAGAGTTCACGAACCTCAGTTCCAGCTTGGAGCTGAAGGCCAGGGTTTTTAGGTTTAGGGCTCAGGGTCTAGGAGGGTTAGGGTTTATGGGCTTAGGGTTTTTAGGTTTAGGGCTCAGGGTCTAGGAGGTTCAGGGTTTAGGGCTTAGGGTATTTAGGTTTAGGGCTCAGGGTGGCTTAGGGCTTAGGGCTTGAGGCTTTTATTTTGCTAGTGCCCTGCGCGCTTTTGTCTGACGCGCTTCGGCGCTCGCTCAATTTTCTTCTGCGCTGTGTTCAAGAAGAGGGCTTGGGGCTTAGGGTTTCGGGTTAAGGGTTTAGGGCTTAGGCGGCCTAGGGCTCGGGGCTTAGGGTTTAGGGTTTAGGGTTTAGGGTGTAATGTTAGAATTTAGACGCAGTAAATACGCACACAAACCCGACTTTTGAATTAGCTTTAAGTTTTCGGGACTTGTAGATCGTGGGTGTAGCATATTGCTTGATGACTCCTTCTGGGACATCGTTTAGTGCTCAGAGGCTGTCTTGCAGAAGTGGGTCGGGCGGAAGCCAAAACACCCTAGAAACCCAAAACCCTAAACCCCAAACCCTAAGCCCTAAACGGCCCTAAACCCAAAAACCCCAAAACTCCAAAACCCTAAACGCTTTCTGGCGCAGGTCGGCGAGGCTTTGGCCGACCACCAGAGGCTGGGTTCTTGAAGGGCTGTGTGTAAAAATTCAACCCGCAGGGTTTAGTGTTTTGCTTTGTTTTAAGGGCCTTTTAGGGTCTAGGGTGTAGTTTTGATTAAGGGCCTTTTAGGATTTAGGGTCTAGGGTGAAGCTCTGTTTTGTTTAAGGGCCTTTTTGATTTGATTTAGGGCCTTTAGGGCTTAGGGTTTGGGGGCCCAAAGGCCCCAAAACCCTTACACAAAACAAGACTACACCCTGGGTTTTGAACCCTAACCCCTAAACCCTAAACCCTAAACCCCTAAAACCCTAAAACCCTAAACCCCTCAACCCTAACCCCTAAACCCCTAAACCCTAAACCCCTAAACCCTAAAAGATAGGAGGTGTTGAGTGCTGTCGAGGTTCGGGGCACTCCCTTGTCTCAGCCTTCCTGCTGCGCCCCTCCATAGCCTAACTTTAGGGCATTAGGGTTTTTATGGTTTATAAGGTTTAGGGTGTTTAGGGTTTATAAGGTTTAGGGTATTAGGGTTTTTATGTCTTATAAGGTTTAGGGTGTTTAGAGGGTGTTTTAGGGGTTTTAGGGTTTATAAGCTTTATAAGGGTATTAGGGTTTTTATGGTTTATAAGCTTTAGGGTGTTTAGGGTGTTTTAGGGCTTTTAGGGTTTATAAGGTTTAGTAGGGTTTAGGGTGTAAACCCCAAGAAGTTGAAAACCGGATCAAGGACGAATAGTGCTCCTCTACTACACGGGTTGGATTCCTTTAAGGGGCATCCTGTAAGGGCTGCTTTTGTTTTGGGGTCCTAAACCCTAAACCCTAAAACCCTAAAAACCCTAAAAACCCTAAAAGCCCTAAACCTTAAGACCCTGAACCCTAAAAGCCCTAAGCCCTAAAAACCCTAAACCCTAAAAACCCTAAACCCTAAAAGCCCTAAGCCCTAAACCCTAAGAGCCTCAAACCCATAAGGGTTTTGGGGTGCTTTCGGTGACTCAGGGCCCCTCAACGAGGCTCCCCACAAGTACCCCTTTGCCCGTTGTTTTCCCTCTTTTGGGGGGTTCCCGTATAATACTCGAAACCGAAGAGTAGGAACAAGGCTACCCCGTACTATTCAGGGGCTACTGCTGCTAACCCTGAACCCTAAACCCCAAAAAACCCTAAACCCTAAAAACCCTAAAACCCTAAAAGCCCTAAACCCTAAGAACCCTCAAACTAAAAACTCTAACAACCCTAAACCCTACAACCCTAAACCCTAAAAACCCCTAAAGACTCGAAAAACCGCAAAAGCCCTAAAAGACCCTAAAGCCTAAAAACCCTAAACCCTAGAGACCCTACGAGCCCTAAATCCTAAGACCCTGAAAACCCTAAATCCTGAACCCTGAACCCCAACATCTGAGCCTCTGAATGCCATGAGCCTGGAGCTTTCTCATTTGGGGGTTTCCGAAAATAGGGGACCTTAAAAAAGTACCCTAAATAGTAGGATCCTTATTCTAAGGGCTCCAAAATAAGGTACCCTAATTTTCGGAAAGTCCCATTTCGAAGACCCTGCGGCAGAATGGGCTCATGGCCAGCGTGATGCAGCGTCCATACGATGATACAAATCCTGCAGTTTCAGGGTTTAGGGTTTCAGCGTTTAGGGTTTCAGGATGCAGGATGCTATGAGTAGGGTTTAGGGTTTAGGGTTTAGGGTCTTTAGGGTTCAGGCTTTTTAGGGTGTGGGTAGTAGATATACCTACTGTTGATGATATAAATTCTGCATTACCTTAAGGACCCTAAACTGTGGGAATTGTGGTATATTCCTTAGTATGAGTAAGGCAGGATTTATGTCATCAACCGTATGGGGAGTTTTCGACGAGCATGCCGAGTAAATGCCGGAAGTTGGTCAAGGCTGTGCTGAGGTCATAACCAATCACGAACACAGAGCGCGTTTTGAGGACATGTATGCTGAGTTTGCTCCAGTGGTTGGCAGGCTCTTTGCCGAGAGCTGCCACGCGAACGACCGGATGCAAAAGCCCTAAACCCTAAGCCCTAAGCCCTAAACCTTAAACCACCATCAAGGTGGGATGGACCTATTGCCCTGCCGTGTGGCTTGGGCGGGTTTACATCCTGCATGAGGCTCGTCGCTTTTTCCAAGGACCACGGCTCTTTCCGTGGGCACCGCACTTGGCTGTTAAAGGTTTAGGGTTTAGGGTTGCTGACAGCCGCATCATTATTAAGCCTAAGCACGAGCTACTGCGTGTACTACTATCGCGATTGCTTCAAATACATGACTCTGCAAACAGTCTAGAATGGCAATGGTGCGCTAGCTGTAAGTGCAATTGTAAAAGTTAGCACCGCCATTTTGACCTGATTGTCTCGTGGTCCTAAACCCCTTTTCCACCCTAAATCGCAGCCTAAACCCCCTAAAAGTGCATAAACCCTCCAAACAGCCCCTGCCTGGACCCTATCAAACCTTCTTTTCAGGGTTCCCTATCATCGTTTCCCTGTATAAGTCCTTAAAAAGGTAGGTTAGTTGTTTGGGGTCCAGGTAAAACCTTAGGGGCTGAGTCCTTTTGGGGCTTATATAAACCCATCATAATTCAAAAGGTTAACCTTTTCGGGGCTGAGGTGCTCTGCCCCTAAGAAACCCTTTAAACCCTCAACCCCTAAACCCTCAACCCTGAAACCCTAAACCCAAAGAGAGCGGCCTGCCGAGGCCCTTCTGAACCCAAAACCCTAAACCTTAAACCCTCAACCCCTAATTGACGACAGGATGGCCGACCGGAGGATGGAGTCGCTCATCGAAGCCTTGCACAACCAACGTGCGCGCAGCGAGAGCCCAAAGCGGAACTACTTCGCTGGACTGGGGGTTTTAGGGTTTTAGGGTTTAGGGTTTTAGGGTTTTAGGGTTTAGGGTTTTGGTGGGCTTCGGGTTTCCTTGGAAGGGGGATTTCGGGTTTAGGATTTAGGGTTTAGGGTTCAGCAGCTCCGGATCGAGCAGGCTCTAGTCGAGCTCGCTATCTTGATCCGAGAAAAATACCCACCCACCCAGGAACCCTCAACATTTTGACACCATATTCTTATTAATCCTAGAGTCCCTAGAGCTTAGATCCTAAACCCTAGAGCTTATATCCTGAACCCTCAAACCCTGCGGTTCAACACCAGAGTACCTATAAACTCTCTGATACGAGCCCTGTGCCCTGAACCCCGAACCCCTGGCCCCGAAACCTTAAACCCTGAACCCGAGCTCCTGAACCCTAAACCCTGAACCCCTAGGCCCTGAACCCTAAACCCTGAACTTTCGGCCCGGACCATTGAACCCTACCTTAACCTACCAAATCCTACTTGGTTTAAGGCGAGCATTTGCTTGTCCAGTCAAGTTCTCCCTGACTTTTCTCTGCTGGTCAGTCCTACTTTCTTGTAGAGTCCCTATAAACTCCATATTATTGGCGTTTATAATAAGAACCTACAACAAAGTAGGTTATGGTAGCGTAAGGTAGGCCCTGAACTGAACCCGGAAAGCGGAGGCCGAGCCATGTTCCAACGAACCCTAGCTGTGCCAAAGGGTGGGTCCAGAACCTGTGCGGAAATCTGTACTTTTTCAGCAGGCCGGAACCCTAAACCCTAAACCCTAAACCCAACCCTAAACCCTAAACAGAATGCTAGCCAAGCATTCCGCAGAGGGTCCGGCAGCAAAGCATCAAGTTGGTCCGCCACAGCCGAAACGGAGGGTGTGCCTACAAAAACGGGCGCCAAGCGACATGTACAACTTCCGGTCGTCCCGTTGAGGTCCCTGAGCTCAGCAGTCCTGACATGCCGATCCGAAACCCTACCTTAAGGACGAAATGACCCTTAAAAGTAGGGTAGGGGCCCTATACCCTTATACTATGAATTCCTATATGGTATATGAGCCTTAAACCCTTTGAGGGTTCATGTCGTCCTTAAGGTAATGACACTATACAAGTATGAGTTATACTCAGTATAACTGCTACAACAAGTTGGATCCTCCGGCAAACCCCAGCCCTAAAAGCCCTTGTCAAGCTAAGGGTTTTTATCAGGTTTTTTATAGAGTTTCAATATCACGACGTAGAAAGGCTTGATGTTTGCTTTCGTAAGCAGGAAAGAGGCCTTGAAGTAAAGGGGGCACTGTTCATCACGGTCTGTATTCTGTTACCCGGCAAGCCTTAGAACCGAACGGCTTATGTAACTTACTTAACTTATGTAGGCTTGAGGGCTGGAGGTGTCGGCACCAGGGGTACGTTGTGGTTCGCATATAGTATAGGCTCTGCGGCATGGTAAGATCCAGGGCGGTTAGAGTGCATTGGCTGGGGCGTCAGCAGTTAGGGGCAGTTCAGCAGGACTGGCAGAAGATGGACGACAGCTGGAGGCGCGCCTACACCCTAAGCCCCAAACACCTACATCCTAAACCCGAAACCCTAATCCCCCAAACCCTAAACTAGACCCAAAACCCCAAAAACCTAACTAAACCCCAGACCCTACACCCTAAACTAAACCTTAGAACCAAACTAGCCCTACAGATTGCTTGAGACTACTTTTGTTTTGGAATTCAGCTTAGGGGTCTGCAGGGCTTGCCTAAATTCGACCCGGGCCCGTAAACCCCCAAAGTGGCCCAAGCCCTGATGCTGGTTTTGCCCTACCTGTGGAACCTTTGAACCCCAAACCCTTAAACTCCTAAATAAATCCTAAACCCTTAAACCTTAAACCCGAAAACCTTCAGCACCCGAAGCCTTGATGCTAAGGTATCCTAAGGCCCAAAGGCTGTCAACTGTCCTACAGTACGCTGAAGGACCCTGAAGTGCCCTGAAGCACCCTAAACCCTAAACCCGAAACCCTAAACCCCTAAACCCTAAAGCCAGGCCAACAAGAGATAGCACCCTAAAGTCCCTCGAGACCCGAAAGAGCCCAAATCTCCAAACTTAGACTCCAGGACCCTGAAATCCCTTAAAGAGTACACGTCAACAACCTTGTTGGCCAAAAAGATGTTCAAGCAATCCCGGCCCTTTCAAGCAACCGCTATAAGCCCTACACCCCAAAGCTTTCAGGCCAACAAGAGGCTGGTTAAGCGACGGGACGAGCAGATCACGTGACTTGGTATAGGGTTTAGCGGGCGATGGGTTCAGGGTTTTGGGTGCTAGGGCGTGGTGTTGATGGCTTCGGAATCCGGCTGGTATTATTCAGTACTGTTATGTGTAGGGTTTAGGGTTTCGGCCAGGCTCCACGCAGAATCCGAACAGTGCCGTCGTCGAACGGTCAGGTTCATGTGCACCATAAAATGGGGGTTTCAGGGATCGACCATGTGTCAGTGCGACTACTAGTGTCTTTGAGACTAATCACGACGCTCAACACTAAACCCCCCGATGATGCGGAACAAGTGCTGGCGAAGCTTGGGTGGCGGCATGACTACACATGTCAAGCAAAGTCTTGGCGACTTGATATGGTATGTTGTTTAAGCCCACAAATCCCCTGCACCAAAGATGAAGCCTTGAAGCCTAAAAAGCCTAAAGCCCAAAATCCGGAACCCAGCGTGCCCCACACGAGGCAGATGATGCTACTGCTCGAGAAGGTTGTTCCTGGGATTGAAGAGCACCAACAAGTGCTTGCCCTGCTCAGGTTTTAAAGTCTTCGGGCTTAAAGGTTTCCCTGGGGCTCCAAATAGCCCAAAGTAGGTACTATTTACAGACTTTAGACCCCAAAGTAGGTACTATTTGCATACTTGGAGCCCTAGGGCTTTAACTGAGGAATCTTATTGGTTTTTTGGGGGCCCTAAGCCCCTAGACCCTGATTCGCGAATGCCCCAAATAGACCCTCAACTCTGACCCCTCTACCAGGATTTTCAACCGGGACACATGGCGCCGAATCTTAGGTATGTAGGATCTCATCGTGGGTAGATGGGTCCAGGTAGACCCGCTGATGGATTACCTCTTTTTTTCAGGCCCTGAAGACTAGAATACGCATTGCGTTCCGTCTCAAGGGAACACTCCAGCAAGCCCAAACAAATCCTACAGTGACGGAGCTAAGTCGCATCATGTTTTTTAGGATCCCACCTCACAAGGGAGGCAAGCACCAGGGGGGGCGGGGTGGGGGGGGGGGGCGTCGCATCACCGAGCGTCTAAACGGGGAGTCGTGATCGCGTTGATTCGGGATTGTTGAGGTTTGATGGCTGAAGCTGAAATAAGAGCAATTTACGTGGAGAATCGTTCTTTCTGTGGTATTGGGTGCTTGCAAACTCGAGCGTCTACATGGGGAACGGCTGTGTTTCGATTTGCTGTTTGATTGGATGTCGCTGATGTGGTTCTGGAGCGGTGCTTGCGAAATCGAGCGTCTACATGGGGTATGGTTGGCTTGATTTGCTGTTTGCTGCGATGCTGATGTGTTTCTTGTGCGGGTGCTTACGAAATCGAGCGTCTACCTGGGAAAGGGTGGTTTTGATGTGCTGCGATGCTATTATTTGCTGTTGTTCTTTTCTGCAACACCGTCGTGATGTCATCGGTTGGCATCCACACACACACACACTGGGGGGCCTGTACTACTTCCGGAATGTCGACAGTCATCATGTAGGACATCCAATGCGAAAACGGGGCGTGATACCTGGTAACTCTGGGTGACCGGACACATGCTGAATGGTCAGTTTGGTTGTGCTGTGATGCCTCTGATGTTTGTCTGGCGTGTGCGCTTGTGAAATCGAGCGTCGACATCAGGAATAGCCGGTGCTGATGTGTTATGATTCCACCGACGTGTGTCTTGCGTGGGTGCTTCTCGAGTCGAGTGTCTACATGCAATGGGAAATGGTTGGCTTGGCTGTGCTGTGATGCCACTGATGTTGATCTTGAGTGTGTGCTTGTGAAATCGAGCATGTACATAGCTGGTTCTGATGTGCTATGATTACGCCGACGGGTGGTTTTAGCGGGTGCTTCTCAAATCGAGCGTCATGTGTTGTCGTCTAGCGCTCATCGCATTGTGTGCGTCCCCAGAGAGAGCTGTATTCCAACAAAAAGTGAGTGATTTAGGATTTTAGGGCCTTGATCGTAATGCCCCAATGTATCCTTAAACCCTACTTAAGCCTTATAAACCCCCAACCCCAAACCCCAAGCCCAAAGCCCTAAATACCCTAACATTTATTAAACAAACTCTTGACCCTGCAAGCATATTGTAGGGTTCTATGGCGGGGTCCCCTTTAAAGGGTACTGTAGTGTTTGTATAGGGCCCCTTTTCAGGGCACTAGAGGGTTTTTATAGTCAGGTCCCCTTTCAGGGTTATCACGAGCGATAAAACATTTTCGGCTCCAAGCCCATGCAGAGAAGCTGTGACGATCACTTGAAATACCGTATAGAGCTTCTTAAAGACCAGCTCGATGGGCGTTAAGAGCCCTTCAACCCTAAACCTAGTCAGGGTTTAGGGTTAGGGCTTCTGAAAGCCTAATAAAACAAATGTGACCCCTTGCAACTCGCAATATCAAGCAGCTGAAGAAGAAACCACATCATACTCAGAACCCCGCTATATGTCAGCTAAGTTTGTACCTTCCGCGCTCAACCCAAAAAATATACCGAGGGTCTATAGCTCCACGGGAGCCTGGGAGCCGTAGGACCCTTTCACCTAACCCCAAACCGAAGCCCTAATACTCCGATCTCGAAGCCCTAAACCCTAAACCCTAAACCCTAAACAGCCCTAAACCCTAAACCCCTAAATACTCCGATCTCGAAGCTCTAAGCCCTTCCAACCCAGCCCCTGAGACCCAAAAAGCGCTGTGCAGTACTGCAGGGGTCTGAGCCATTGGTTAACATCTCCCCTGATGAAGCCAGTATAGAAGCCTTATAAGCTTACCCATAGGTCCCTAAGTAGTTCTTTTTTGGGATTACATTATAGGATTTTAAATATAAACCATAAAAAGGAANNACTTAGGGGCCTATGGGTAGACTAAAAGAAGCATGGTACAACCTGTACTAGGCCTCCCAAACAGCCAAACCCAAAAACCTTAGCCCAATATACCTGAAACTCTGGACCCTATAAAAGCCTTCCCCTAAGAATCTTAAACACCAACCCCAAAAACCCTAGCCAAACAAACCTTAAGCTCTCGACCATATAAGANNAAACCCTAAACCCTAGAATCCAAACCCTAAACCCTAAACCCCCTAAACCGTAAAAGAGTCACCCCAACTGTAAAAAAAAAACCCTAAACCCCCTAAACCCTAAACCCTATAAACCCTAAACCCTAAACCCCGCCTAAACCCTAAACCCCGCCTAAACCCTAAGATTCCGACAGCGCCGCCATGCACTCTGAGCCATGACAAAGAGGCCAGGGCCGGAGACAGAGCCGGAGGCCTTGGTTTGGAATGACAGGTGGGGCAAGGTTTAGGGTTTAGGGCCGTTTAGGGTTTAGGGTTTTAGGGTTTAGGGTTTAGGGCCGCTTAGGGTTCAGGGTTTAGGGTTTAGAGTTCAGGGTTTAGAGTTTAGGGATGTTTCGTTTTAGGACCCAAGATCGGGTTTGCAGTTTGCTTTTTCTTTGCCTCCTAACTAAGGGGGTCTTAAGTGGATGTCGGGTTTCTTGGAGCTTCCTGGGTGTTTCTAGTATGGCAGGTGGGGGAAGTGCCTTGACGGACGAGTCTACATCCTGGCTGCCCTTGTGATTGATGTGGAAGTTGCTCTTCCTGACGCCTGTCCGTGAAGAATTCCATTTTTGGGTTCGCGGCTTTGAGGGCTTACTTGTTGAACCCCGCGCCCAAATAGCCTACCTGATAAGACAACATATAAGGAGATCATAATAAGGAGCCTAGTTCAGGCAGGTTTATGGGGTTCAGGTGGGGCTTACCCAGAGAACTGAAGGACATGTCCAATCTGACGAAAGCCGTGGCGGAGCTGAGCCATGTGATCCAAGCAGAGTTACCCCATGCCGTGGCGTGTCTGAACATCCATGTCCTTCCCGGCCTCTCCCAGGGCGGAAACAAGCAAGTACGTCTGGCCATGTCAGGAGACCCCCAGCTTTGTGCTGCATGGCATCAGCGCAGGCAGCTCCAGGGTAGCAAGCACCTGGGTCAAGGGGCGGTGGCACATTTCCACTCTCTCCGAGACACCACGAGTGTAGAACATCAGGAGAAGATGACTGAGCTCGTGTCCTTGCACTCCCATTCAGAGTCGGGCTTCTTGCTGGATTTGCCCAGCGATTGGGTTCGCGGTTGGCCAGAGGGTGCCACGAGCTTCCCGCAACACGCGGGATCCCTGTGGTATGATTTTGCAGCCGTCTGGGGGCCGGTGAAGGAGGCCTGCATGATTCGCACGCAGGATCCGGCCGTGGTGCACTTACTCTTCGACTTTGGCAGCCAAGGCCAGGGCGCCAAATGCCTCTAGGCAGGCCACCAGTATACCCATAGGCCCCCAAGTAGTTCTTTTTTTTGTGGTTTATATTACGAACAAGTACATGCTGTACTTATGCTAAAGAGCGGCGTTTAGGAGGGGGTCTTCTTTTCGAGGGAACCCTAAACCGGGTTTGGAAGCGATCGTAACTTTACGAAGGGTTTTCAGCAGCTTGAACGAGGCCAACCCTAAACCCTAAACTTTTGGGTTTAGGGTTTAGGGTTTAAGGCTAGGGTTTAGGGTTTAGGGTTTAGGGTTTAGGGTTTGGGGTGGGCCAGCCTAGGCCTCTTTGAATTGCTCACGGACCGCTATCTCTACAACCCCTTTGCGCAGAGCCAGACCTACCCGGTTCGCTGTGCCTTGGGTCACTTCCAGGACATAGATGGATTAAAGGAAACTACAGGTGGGTTTAGGGTTTAGGGTTTAGGGTTTTGGGTCACTTCCAGGACATGGATGGACTAAAGGAAGAAACTACAGGTGGGGAGTTTGGGGGTATATGAGGCTTCTAAAAGGCTTCTATATGGTATATAGACCTTCTATGAGGCTCCTAAAACGGCAACTGCCCACACGAAAATGTCCTAGCATGGAGGGTTGTTCTCAACCGTTGAAACTTGGGGTTTATAAGGTGTTGACCCCTAAACTGACCCCAAAACCCTATCAACCCTAAACCCTAAACCCTAGAAGCATCTTATAAACCCCAAACCCTGAACCCTATAGACTATAGACCCTAAAATCCCTATAGCCCTAGGCCGTTTAGGGCTGAGGGTCGCTTCCAGGATCTGAGGCTGCAGCTGCTGCCAGAGACAGCCGATAGTTCGGCTGCAGTCCCTGGCACCTTCGAGCTCCGACGCGTGCATCTGAGTTCTTGTTAAAGGGTTTAGGGTTTAGGGGTTTAGCGTGGGGTTTTAGGGTTTAGGGTTTTAGGGTATAGGGCCGTTTAGGGTTTAGGGTTTACCTGGGACTCGAATTACCTCCAGTTTTATGGGTTCTACCTACTAATTAAGGGGTCATGGCTGCTAAACTGGAGGTGAAGAGAGCTACAGGTAGGTTTTAGTGCTAACGGGGCTTGGCTTAGGGATGTTACAGGTAGGGTTTAGGGTTTGGGCATCTGATTTCTTGTTGAGGAAGTTGGTTGAAGTTACCATATATTGATGAAGGCCACATAGTTCGTCTTCGAATCTATGCTAAGTTACCAGTATATAAAGAAGACATAGGGAAACCATCATATTATTTGCTACTGATATACTTGTTATATGGCAACTTAAAACAACAAGAGCCCAGGCATGGGGAGGAGATGAAGACGCCGCAGATCATTCGCGTGAGCCCGCAGCGCCGCGTGAAGCTCGGGCGAGCCGAGGATGCTGCTTCCGAAAGTAAGGGGTACCTTACTTTGGGGTCCTTAAGATAAGGATCCTACTATTTCGGGTAGTCTATCAGGGCTTATTAGGGTTTAGGGTTTAGGGATTATTTCGGGTACTATAATTAGGGTCCCCCATTTTCGGAAACCCTGAGGATGCTGCTGACATCGCCCTTCAACTCGCTCACATCTCCAAGGTGCACGCAACCTTGCAGGTCATCGGAGAAGCTCGGTCCTCCAAAGAGGGAGCCGTATTTTTTGAGTATTTTTTTGAGCTTATAAGACTCTTATGAAAGCAAACCCACCAAAGCCTAAACCAAAGAACACTACACACTAAACCCCAAAACCAAAGCTCTTGTCAGAGGAACGGCTCTTCATCCAGGACACCTCTGTGAACGGCACGTGGGTGAATGAACGGCGCATTGCCAATGGTGTAAAGGTGGGTAGTTCTCTCACGTGGGATACTCAAACCTTACCTTTAAGCCCTAAACACAAAAGGCTTCCAAAACTCCCAACTCTAAACCCATAAGCTCTACCCGGCCCTCCGAAGAGAAACTAGAGTCACAAACCATACATTGCGCACCCCCGGTAACCCTAAGCCTCGGAACCCTAAACCCCTAAACGCCTAAACCCCTAAACCCCAAACCCCAAAACCCCTAAACACCCTAAACCCTAAACCCCTAAACTCTAAACCCCTAAACACCCCACAAAACCCTAAACCCCAACAACAACCCTAAAGCAGAGCGCCCCCGGCAGGTGGAGCTGAAGCTACGGGACAGGATCTCCTTCTTGCCCTCCTACACCAGAGCCCATGCTTGTTCTTAGGGCTCTCGGGGGTTTAGGGTTTGGGGTTTAGGGCTCCTGGGCTCTGGTCTTCGGTTTTTTTTGTAGGGTATTATAGGGCTTTATATAGGGTTTTATAGTTTTTTTTTGTTTTTGTTATGGGGTTTTGTCGTAGTTCCCTTGAATAAGGAATATAGGGCTTAGGGTTTTTAGGGTTTAAGGGTTTAGGGCTTAAGGGTCTTAGGGTCTTAGGGATCTCGGGCTCCAGGGCTTTAGGGTGTGGGGGTATAGGGCTTTATGGGGCTTCGGGTTTAAGGGTATAGGGTTCTTGCCCTCCTACACCAGAGCCCAATCTCGCCTTAGGGCTCCCGGGATTCAGGGCTTTAGAGGGGTTCAAGAGTTTTAGGGTTTTGCGGTTTAAGGGTTTTAGGGGTTAAGGGTTTGGGGTTTTAGGGTTTTAGGGTTTAGGGGTTTAGGGTTTAGGGTTCCCAGAGACTCCAAAATCCCCTAGTTAAGCAATATACCTTAAATTATATTAGGAACCCTAATAAGGTTATTCCTAAACCCTAAACCCTAAACCCTTAAGGTCAATTAAGGTATATTGGAGTCTCTGGGCTCCAGGGCTTTAGGGTGCAGGGGTATAGGGCTTTATGGGGCTTATGGTTTAGGGGTATAGGGTTGTAGGGCTTGAGGGCTGTAGGTTTTAGGGTGGTTAGGGTTTAGGGGTTTAGGGCCTTCATAAAGACAGAAGAGGAAGTAGGGGTTGGGGTTTAGGGTGTCTTGAATGGTTTTCGTACGGGTTTGTGTCTTAGTATAGGATGGCAACCATAGGCTGTGAAGAAGTTCTTTACAGCTTAGTGATTTCTCTCTATCAGATATCAGAAGGAAGAATATATCCGATAAGGGCTATTTCCTGAAATCGTGCCTCAACCCTAAGCCCTCAAACTCTTGAGCTTCTAGGCCCTCAAAGCCCTGAAAACTCAAAGGCCTACCTAAACCCCGAACACCCCTACAACCCTAAAGCCCTACAGCCCTATACCCCTGAACCATAAGCACCATAAGGTCCTATACCCGCCACCCTAAAGCCCTAGAGCTCTAAGACCCTAAACCCGAACATCTAAACCCTAAACTCTAAACCCTTAAACCCTGAACCCCTAAAGCCCCAAAACACACCAAAACCCCAAAACAGAACGAAAAACAACCTTAAAAATCCGTAAAAGAGCCCAGGAGATGCCCCGACCTACGAGGTCTTTCAGACGATTTCGGGCCCCCAAACGGCGCCGGTAGCTTTGGAGACGCGAACGGAGGAGCTGCTTCGCGCCTCGGAGTTTTGAAGGTCTTAGGATTTTTGTTGGGGTGTTTAGGGCTTATAGGGTTTGGGGATTAAGATTGTGTTTGGGGGTTTCTAGGGGTTTTAGGATTCTTGGGGGGTTTAGGGCTTATAGGGTTTATAGGGTTTAGGGGGCTTGGGGGTTTAGGGTTTATAGAGCTTATAGAGTTTGGGGTTTAGGGGGTTAGGGTTCAGGGGTGTATAGGGTTGATAGGGTTTGGGGTTTAGGGTTGATAAGGTTTTTAGGATATTTTGGGGTTTAGGGTTTATAGGGTTTAGGGTTTGGGGTTTCGGGGATAGAGGTTTCGGGTTTGGTCCAAAGTACCTGTATGGTAAAATGTAAGTTTTTCTATTAATTAGGAAGCCTTAATTATGATTTGGGAAGGTATCCCCCAAATTAGGACCCTTTTGCATGAGGATTTTTTTTGGAGGGGCTTTGAGGGGTTTGGGATCTGGGACGTCGGGCTTAGGGTTTAGGGTTTAGGACTTTGAGGGTATAGGCTCGAAGTATCAGGCTCTAGATGGTTTAGGGTTTATAGGGTTTAGGGGGTAGGGTTTACAGGTTGAGGTTTAGGGTTTACAGGGTTTAGGGTTGAGGGGTTGGGGTTTAGGGTTAAGGGTGTAGGGTTTCGTTCCAAAAGCGCTCAATCCCAAACCCTAAACTCAAAACCCCAAACCCTAAGCAGCCAAAGCCCCTAAGCCGTGAAGCGCAACTCTGAGCTCTTTACTCGGAAGCTGTTTGCTGGAGTATTCGTCAGGGTTAAGTGGTTCCTAAACCCTCAACCCTAAACCCCAAACCCCAAACCCCAAACCCTAAACCCTAAACCCTTCAGGTTTTCAGGGTTTTGGGGTTTGGGGTTTTATTGGGGTTCGGGTGTTGTTTGAGGGGAGCTTGGGAGTTTCAGGTGGGTTGTTATCTATTCTGAGAGTGCTAACCGTTGAATGGGGGTGACCCTGAAAACTCAAGCACCGTGGCCCCTAAATCCCAAGCCCCATAATTCGAGGACCCTGAATCTTCTAAGCAACCCTAAACCCTAAACCCTAAGTCCCGATCATTTACGCCCCAAGCCCCTACACCCTTCTAAGCGCTAAACTAGTTGGGTGTTTTTGCACCACCAGTAGCTCTAGCTACCAAAACCTTCTTTTTTGGAGTGTCCCCCTCAGTTCTTTTTAAGGGTGTAGAATAAGGACGGGCAAGCAGCAGGTTATGGGAGTTTGAGGTAGGGTCAAACTCTAAACCCTTGTAGAACCCCTTCAAGCCTTTAGGATCAACCTAGCAGCAAACCCCCTATAGAAACCCGAAAACGCTAGGGTCAACCCATACCCAGAGACTCCAATATCCCTTAATTAACGAATTAGCCTTAAATTATCATCGGATCCCTAATAAGATTTAAGGTATGTTCCTTAATTAAGGGATATTGGAGTCTCTGGGTACTAGGGTGTTTTCAGAGCCCGCAGCTCTAAGCCCTAAGCCACTCTAAACCCTTTAGGGTTTAGGGGTTTTTTGATTCCCTGTAAATGAACCCTAAACCCTCATTAAACCATCATTCTTGGAGCCCTTTCAGGTACCCTTCTAGCAGTTCCCAAAAAGGAACCCTCGTTCCCTTTAAAGTTGAAAGGAATAAGGAACCCTTATAGGAACCGTTTTTTCGTTCCTTCCAAACACGCCTAGTACTTCCCTTAAGGGGGGTCCTTAAAGGGTAAGGTGGGTCTAGAATTTAGGGTTCCTTTAAAGGGCCCCTGAACCCTAAACCCTGAACCCTAAACCTTGAACCCTGAACCCTCAACCCTAAACCCCTAAACTCTATAAAACCCTAAACCCTGAACCCTCAACCCTAAACCCCTAAACTCTATAAAACCCTAAAC